ACAAAACTCGAAAGAAAGCGGAAAATTGGCTAACACTGCGCATCTCCTACAACCTGTCTTAATATCTACTATGTAGGGCATAATAATCCCATTGTACACCGTAGACGACACGTCCAGAGTCCATGTTAGTTGAGCAGAATTCCAAAACGTCTTCTTTTATGAATCAACATTCAGAACATGTTCCCGTTTTTCAGTTATTATGGACCAATCACACCACGCGTAACGAAAGGAATTGGAATTGGAAAAAATAAAGGAATTGAATCAGGAAAATTACATTAAAGTTCTTTCTAAACTTACGCACTAAGTAGGCAAGTATGCAGACATATAGACCAAGAGGCGAGCGAAAGAATGTCCATGTCTGAATTAACTGAAGATCTCATGTTTGACTCTTTAGCATCTGTTACCAATAGAACAAAAACATCGATTCCGATCGAAAATGTTCTAGCGCAAGAAAACACTTTGCTGGCAGAGAAGAAGTAGGTGGAACGATGACAGCCATCCAGCTGAATACATAAGCAAATTACTCTTTGTAAGCAAAAATTATTCTTTGCTTTCCAGTAAAACCATTTTTTTGCTTACCATTAAGATTGGAGGTGTCATTAGTTTGTGTACAGTCGTGCCTTTCTTTTTTCTTATTTGAATTCCACTTCACTGGAATCCATTGTTCAAGTATGTCCATCAAAGGCAATAAAATTTCATTATTGAATATTTGAACATACTTGTATTAATATTACCCTCAATTTATTCTTAAGAAAATTTCAATCGATACCTTTTGAAAATCGAAATTCGTGATATGAATGAAAATCATTTCGAATTTAAAGAAGCAGGCATATGGAAGGCTAATGCTCTACATTGAGAATATTATTTGCTGTTTTTATATTCGATATTTTAAATATTCGGGAATTATGTATAAAAAATTGTACGGGTAGCTCGAATTCTTTCCGTTCAGGTTCAACAGTCGGTTTTCTGTCGAGTGAAGCCATTACCACTACTTGAACTACAATCTCATTTTCCCCAAAACTACGCATATCTCTCGAACTAGGCTTACTATGACCGCATTTCACTTCTTCACCAATTGTCTTCAAATTTTAAAATCTCTTGACTACAGTCGGATTCTATAGGCAGTTTTTGACGGCCCTCGTTTACACAGTATTTTGAAAAAGTTTCAAAGAATATGAACATGTCGCGGTAAATTGGAAATCGTAAGAACCCATCTAACATAACAAACTTTCGACAATCCCTTTAAGAAGTGCGTCACCGAATAAATTATACGAAAAGCAAATTAAATAAAGTTAATGGAAAATTTCCTACCCTCATGCGGCTAAATAAAGGCTTTCTTCTGGCGATCAGAGTACAAAAAGCCGCTCTTCCTTTTAAACACGCTGTTCTTCTAATGCAAATTGCCAAAGGGAAGCAAATTTAGTTAACGAAATAATGCTTGATCTCATGCAATAAAAAAAGGCCTCTTTTTTGCGGGAAAGGAATATAAGAAACACTGATTGTTCAATATTGAACGCAAAGTGTATTGAATAGTCAGTCCATCACCGAATCAATTGAATCGTTGAAGAATCACTCTTAGCTGGCCATCTACTTAGATGATTGTTTATGTAAATATAAAAAGCCATATATATGCATAAATGTATGTAGACGTCATTCTCTGTTTGTCGTACTTAATAAATGATTTTCAAATCGCCTTTTCTCTTTCCTTTATACATTTAATATTTTTTCTTTTTTTACATCAAATTTTGTTTGTACATATATAAATCAGTTTCAATATAAATAAAAATCACAAGTAATTATAATAATAGATAAAAAATGACAACAACAACAAAAACAACAACACACAATTAAACGATAAAATATTAACAATCGACAACAATAATAACAATGAACATAGCAATATACAACGACTCTACCAACAAATGCTTTTCTACAACGCCAATCAATAATCTGTTGGGAAAAAAAGTTTGTATTAAAAAATTGTTAGTTAAGTACATGCATACTTTTAAATAAAAAACAAAATTCTTCATACAAAAAACAATTTCTATATCGATTTAAACAAAAAAATTAAATAATATCATTATTATATTTATACACACATAAAACACATACATACATATATGTGCTTTTGTATATGTTCACATGATGTTTTTTAAAACCACAAATTTTAATTAATTTTTATAATATAGATTTTAAAAGAAATGCGGAGCAAGTTAATAAGTATTGTTTTATACATATATAAAACAAATATATGAGTGTACACATATTTTCTATATAAATCTCCTAAAAAAAAAAAAAAAAAAAAAAGTTTTTTTATTTTATGAAAAAAAAAATTTTTCTTTAAATAAATTGGGTTTTAACAAAAAATAAATAAATAAAATAAAAGTAGAAAACTATAATTAAACGTCAATACTACGATCATTATGTTTATGGCAGTGCGGTAAAAACAAAAAAACAAGTATTCATTGAAACATCAATTGCTTAAATATTATCAAAAACCGTGCCTGCAATCTTTATCAAACGGGTAACGCTACCATTCTACCGAAGTATTTTCACTTTCCTCTTTTGAAGCAAAACCATTCATTCTGGCCTAAATTGCGCCACTTACGCATAAAGTATCTCATGTCTTAGCATTAAAGTAACGGCCCACTTCGTGAACCCAATCTAATATAAAGATTCTTACAAAATATAAATCTGAATATTAGAAGACCGGCAAAGGGTCTACTTTGTAATATATTGTGATGAAATTTACTCCACTTTAATAATGATTTGACAAATAAATCTATTACGCACGACCGGGAGGATTCTTATAAGAAGTATGAGTTTTTGAAGTAAAAGTTTATAATTTTTGATATTGAAAGTAGATGAAGAATACCGCATACAAATGTTTACTTAAGCTAACTGAATCGGAAGACATTAACCCAGTTTAGCAAAGAAATAACAACATACTTTTCATTGTGGCGTTGCAGGTGATTGTAAGGGCCGGAGAAGACAAGTTATGCTACTAATTCACAATGTTCCCCCAAATCTGCAAGATTTGTCCAGTAGATTAAAGCACATCCGTCTATTTGTCTGTCGGTATGGCTGTCTGTTTAGTGTCTGCCTTTAAAAATTCTCCTGACCGCATAATTGTTACCAACGTTGGAAGTTATTGAAACCAGCTTGGCATCGAAAATCAGCGGAGTCAATCAAAGCTCACGCCCACAGTACAACATAAACTGAGATCATCTCTGTTTTCGAATGCAATAAAATTCGTTTTTTTCGCATGTTACTCGTACTTTAAAGCAGATATAGCGACAAAATCATAGAAAGTATCCAAGTTTTATTACTTTTGCGTTCTATTTCTTTTTAAGAGGAAGGTGGTGAGTGTAAGAGATTCTCAGATTCCTCTTATAGCTGAAAAACCAATCAGGATACTTCCTCTAAATATGTCTAATGGGTGCGAAGAACTTTAAATAGAGAGAGGAGCAATATTTATATACTTTCAAAGCCGAAACATAGAGAACTCGGCAACCTATGGATATATGAAATCTATTAAAAAATTTTGGACTTTTTCTCGCATCTGATATCGCACATGATAATGATGTTTTTTAATAAAGATAGTTTCTTGCACTTTGCTACAAATCTTTGGAAGCAAAATATACTTTTTCTTTTTAATGTCAGCATATTTTCCTTACTCGCTACTCATCAACGACCTGTTTTCGCTCCTGTCTGCTAATCTGCACGTTTAGAAGAATTAAAATTTCAATATTTCAGGCAAAGAAGAGACAGGAAATGCGAGAATCTGCGTGAAAGAGTATGTGTTCATTAACAATAACGCGTACATTGAAAAAGTTTTGAAACTTTACCCACATTTTCATTTTGTATGTATATATATTTTTATACCCTACACCATTTGTGGGATGGCGGAAGCTCTTAATATAAATTCACCTTTTATTATACCGACCGATTCAGAATCATTATCTTAATCAATTTAAGCGTCTCTGTCCGTCTGCACGTTCGTTGCCTGTCCATATATATTTGAATTCAAGCTACATGTCATAAATTTTGCAATATTTTCATGTGCGCTGATATGTTTTGTCCGAAGGACGAATTTCATTGTAAATGAATCTGATCGGTCCACTTTTTCGATCAATCGCCTTATTTTGAAAAGTCGTTATCTGGAAAAGAATATGCAATTTTCAATATTTTTTGATAAAGTTCTCCGAACAATATTACTTCGACCTTGTAAATCTGTATAAAAAATTTGTTTCGGTGGTGGCAATTTTGTAAACCTCTTGCTTATATAGTAAAAAGGAAAAATTTTTAGTTCTTCATGGTGAAAATTAATTCGTAACAGCAAATTGGCATAGAAATAAACTTAAGCAAATTTGGAGCACGTGGATCTATTTTCTGGATACCATCACGTACACGGATTCTCGGGAAGTGTAACAATTTATACGTCATAAATGTTTTATGATCAAAATTTGTTCATTATACAAATTAGACATAAGAATTAAGTTTATCAAATTTGAACCACATCGGTCTATTTATTGGACCACACTGCCTATAAGATTTCTCATGAATAGTTAGATCTCCAGAAAAAGTTTTAACTCTTGATCCATAGTAATAATTTAACAAAAAAAATTAACAGTAGGTAATTTGGATCACAGAGGTCTATTCTTTAGATCCCTACATATATAAGGGTTATCACGAAGCGCAAGCCCTTGTATGGAGAGGAAGTGTAATTTCTAGATTTCTACGGCGGAAATTGAAATATAATACAATTTTTTATATGCAAATTATATTTGTTAAATTTGGATCACGTCTCGTGATGTTTGGGCATCCTTTGGTGTATTATTACTCAAACGAATGAAGACCTATATTAGGCGAGTTGGTGTAGGGTATATAAGGATCGGTTTTGCCCTACTATAATGTTTTTAGGGCTTTTAGTTTTATTTCTCAAACTTAACTTTTTTGTTTTTGTATAAAAATAATTTTCAACTCGATTTTCTTTGCAGGGAAAACTGTAAAAATGTCGACGAATGAAACGTAAGTATTTATAGATTATATGTTTATTTAAATGCATACAGCAAATATCATAAGCTCAATTGATCTGCAATAAGAATTGGTGAGAAAGTTCGCTTACATTTATATGTATATGTATATTTATTGGAATATTTATTAGAAACTGCATGTCATCGCTACTTTATGAATGTATTTTATAAGTTTCTTATTTCTTAGTGCGACCGCATGAACATCATGTAGCTAATTAATCTTAGATGGAAATTATTATAATAACATTGACACATAAAACGTTCATGACATTACACGTTATTATCATTAACCCAGAAAACGGTAAATATTCAAGAATTTATTAAACAAATCTAATTCTTTTTTCATTATACCAAAAAAAAAAAAAAAGGCTATGAAAAATTTCTATTTACGTTTTATTACTTTGTACTTTGTGCCATATCTACGTCTAATCTGCTCCTGTTTATCCTAAATAACTTATGTAGACTTTAAAAAAAAAAAAAACTTTTAAAATAAATCAAAAGCTTCATCGATTTATAACTAAAACAAAATCTCGCTATCACATCATAAGAGAATAAAAATTTCATTAAAAAAATTTTAAACCATTGACACCACATCAACAACACTATATCCACCACCACCACTACCACCACCTACACCACCACCAATGTCACTGTCCCAAAATTTCGAAAGTAAAAAAAAAATAATTAAAATAAAAAAAATTCGAAAAGTTCGGCAAAAAGATTTTACTAAACCAAAAATCTGTTAAAGCAATCATATCTCGCTAATTAGCCCATATTTTCTCTCTCGTCCTCATAATGACCACTCTGAATGTGACTCTCTCTCTCTCTCTCTCCCTCTCTCTCTGAAACGATAATAAAAACTTTCTTCAGTAAAAACACTCAGCACGGTGGGCAAAGTGTAGCTTTGTTGGAAACACCGAACGGTGTAACGATCATCGAAAGAAATGGTACGGAAGTAACGAGTGCAATGAGTGGCCAAAATCGTCAAAGCAATGATGTGCAAATACGTAATCATAGTCAAGCGGGTAATGACGAAGATGATTCCTTTGAATATGGCACCGACAGAGAGAGTAGTGTTTATAATCCCACCACACAGCCGTTGCGTAATGTTATGGCCGCTGCTGGTGGTAGAAATTCGCAAAGAAGTAATAATAATGATAGCGATAGTTCGGAATTGTTAACTAAAGGCAATCAATTGGGAATTCCCGAATCGAGATTTTCGCGTTGGATACCGAAAGATCAACGTGAGATATTAGAGAAACAAGCGAAGCTGTTAGCGAATCGCTTGAAACCGAAAACGAACGGAGCGCAGAGCAGCGAACGGAAGCCTTCGAAAACACCGCCACCAACCCCAGCCACACCAACAACAGAAGCATCCTACAAACCTGAACCTACCGAAACTGAGATTTAAAAAATCAATTCTAATATTCGTTACGCTCACTTAAATGGCTTCCATATAATTTACGCAGCATTATTTTAACGTTTAATTAGTTTTTAAAGTTTTCAATTATATTTTAACATCAAGAAGAGAAAAAATTATAATTAATTTATTCGATTCATAAAACTCATAAATGTTAACAATCACCGTAAAATACTAAATGACACTTAAACTCTTTTTCTAGTTAGTCGTTGGTTTAAGCTAAATATTTAAAAAAAAAATAAAATAAAATTATTTTACTAAAACTTAAATTGATTTAATTTCAATAAAAAATTATTTAAAAAAAAAAAGAAATAAAAGCCTCTATTGCAAACGACCCTCGAAAGTTAACAAAAATTAATATTTTTACATTTTATTCCCTTAGTTTTTAATAATTTTTTTTGCAACTTTCATTTTTCCAAAGTTTTTTTAATGTCAAAAACAACTACCAATGAGATAAGTAAGAACCTTTGATTCGCCTTAGGACGAATCTTCGACACCCACCACCTTAATTGGGATTGAATCACGAATATTCCAAGTGTAGACAATAGATATTTAGACGGAAGGACAGATGGACTAGTCGATGGACCAACAAAAGCAGGATGAATGAGTGAACATAAGGACGGCCCAGAACCGGCAGACAGGAAGGCAATCGTACGGTTAAAGACATGAATAGGGACGGACATGGAATAGACAGGCAAACAGACAGAGAGGTGAACATAGGACGAAATGAAAAAAGATAACCGATTAAGCGGGCAGACGAAGTGGAGGATAAATAGGAGATAAGAAGACACGATTGACACATCGCGGAATGTTACGGTTGCAAATAGCGATGTATATATATATATGTCGAAGTTGTGTGGATGTTACAGCCTCAGAGACAAATTTAATACGTTTCCCTTGTTTGGTGGTGGGTAAAAAATTAAATGAAATATTCATTTAGAGTTAATATAAGCTTTGACATGTTATCACAAACAAATGAAAATAAATTTTAACTCAACAAAAAAAATTCTATGGAGCAATTAGTCGCAACATAAACGTAATGTTAAAAAAACTTATTGTTTATGTTTAAGGAAATCAGTTCGAAAATTGCCAAAGGCTTAAAAAAGCACAACACGTCAGCCCGATTAAGCCATATCAACATGTTAAATACGTCTATCGGGCGTAATTTCAAGCCGCAGTCTATACAAAAAAGATCAAATTATCAATTCTATCCTTTTATCTGTGTCACTATCAATCCCTTCGTAAAAACCCTTTAGAAAGCCCAGATTTTTTTCTTTGTACAGCCTTTTATGCTTGCTACATAGTAGGTTTTTTCCGCTTTCGAAGACTTTCATTTATTTGTAATGTTCGGTCTTTAAGTTCACTCTTATTTGTTGGACGTAAAAATTTCGTGGTCCTTAACATTCAAACTTTCTCTCTTAATGCACTTACCGCAAAAGCAAAAAAAGTAAGCATAAAAATGCGAAGAAACATACGCACTTCTCATTACCTTTAATTTTGAAGAGAGGTTAAAAGATGAAAGTTCAGGTCATCGAATATTACAAAAGAAAATCGAGTTTTTACTGAGAATCTCTTCTTGAACTTCAATTAGATTCCGACCGTTCCTTCCCTATCGCAGAGACTAATTAAGGGTGACTGTAAATAGCTGTCTGTCAAATGTTCGGTGCTTTCCACTAGCATAAGTCGCACCAGTACGAAGGGCTGCTGAGCTATGTACGCAGAGCAAAAAATGAAGCGAAAGGACAAGCAGATGTTTCGAATTCTATACTACGTAAGAAAACGTGAGAATATACTCCTTATACTCCCTTAGTGCCATACTTCTACTTAATTGCTTCTATACACCCCTAACTACTTGAACTTTAAAGTTCAGCCTCCAGTAAAGTTTTGTAAAAATTTTGTACAAAAAATAATTTAAATGTTACAGTCGCACAAAGTCGACATAACAATATCTTCAATTGACTCTCATAAAAATCGATTGCTTTAAATGAAAGTCTTTTAACGGTAAGGCGTCTGAAAAGTGGACCTAAGTGGTTCAAATTAAACCCAGTGACTTTAGACATCTCGTTATTCTGGATGAGTTTTCATTATAAAAGGGTTTGCGGTCATGCAAAAAAGGACTTTTTGTAAGATTGCCCACACAGAAAGGAATTCAAAACATGATCTCATATCACGTACAAATATTTGCCATTGATTTTATATATCGCAATACTTTTTCCATTAACGTCAGAAACGCAAACTTTGTTTCATTTGACGACTTCTCATGATACACTGTTATATGGCAAGTGATCGTAAAAATGGTCCGTTTCCACTCATTTTCAATAGAATCTGCAGCGGTTAGACCAAAAACTTGTCAGTGTACGAAATTACAACAAAATACTTCGATAATCGCGTCTTGTCCAAATTGTGAATAAAAATTATGTATTGGGTAGACATGGGACAGAAAGAAGGACAGAAAGGTCGAAAACGATTCAGAAAATGACTTTGTATCATTTGGCATGTTAAAAAGCGGACCTACCTCACAAGCTGCTCTTACTGCTGCCTACTCGTATAACCCAAGTGGCGTAGGGTATGAAAAACAAATAAAAAATGAAAAGAAATAAATGTATTAGTATTTGTTAAGCAAGCTCAATGAAATGCAATCAATTTTGTGTTAAGACACCTTTGTATATATAAAGATAATCATAAGTTACCGCAGAAGTATAAAACAGATCACACGGTGACAGCTTAACTAGAGAATAACACTCACGGGACATATGGTGACAAAAGAGTTCTTTGTTTTAAACACTAAACTCATACTAACCTCTTGCAAACAAAATCAATAAAACAAAAAGTTGCTTAATTAATCATTTATAAAATTGAAATTTAATTTTTTTTTATTTATGACTTAAACAACACTCAATAATATACACATACACGCACGTATGTGGCTTATTATTATTATTATTATTATTTTGTGTACAGATAACAACACACACAAAACAAAATATAAAAGCAAACAGAAAATTTTCTTTATGTTTAGAGCACAAAAAATGTTTACACTTAAAAAAAAAAAATCTCTTAATTTTCCAATACTTATCGACAACAAAAACAAAACAAACTCCCTTAAAAAACACATACAGTAGTGATACCGAAAGTGCTGATGTAAGAGCTACTTCAACAGCTACGGCCACTACGGCAGCCGTTTCGGAAGTGGGAACTGTACCGGCTACCCCCGCTCACGCCCACAACGATAATACCAGCAGTTATAACAACTTTGGCAGAAAATTTGAGGCAGCAAAGCGTTTACCGCACGCATTTACGGCCTTATTTAAGCGCTTGCATGAAAGAGACTCATCATCAGAAAAGCGAAAAGATACCGAACTGATGGTCAACGAGACTGATGGTGTAACGGCAGTAACGGATCGTGTACAACAACAGCAAACATCGGGGCCTAATAACGGAGCTAACGCGAATGGCAACGATAATCAATCCAAGGTATTGTTGTTGTAATGGTAATATATTAATATTGCTTAAACACACACATACACACACAAACACACCTTTCCTATTATAATTGCGTCCATTGCGCGTAATAACAGTGATTACTACAGTACTACACGTGTATATATTGGAGACACTTTAAGCCATTTTTTACACTCACCACCGACATATGACGATTTTCGGTCAAGACATGTCTAAAAATTGATATGACAAGCTTTAGGTGGATCAAGTTAGGCAAGTCAAGAAATAAGTTTTAATCAGTTTGTCTTAACGAATAAAAACCTTAAAAGAAAATTTTGAAAAGAAAAAAATTTATTATTTACAAGATATTGTCTACCGTTATCCGCTATTTATGTCTATATTTCTTTCCGTTTCTGGAGTACCTTTCTAGAAGAATCACCTATCTTTCGAAATAAACGATTCGTTCATCCGTTTATCGATTTCTTCATAATTGTCAACGCATTGCTCAGAGAGCTCGCGCCGTCTCGATGCATGTTTGCTCAGTTGATTCGAATAAATCTGGCTAATCGTCTGCCCATTGACGAAACTTTTTTATCTCGCACCCAAAACGAAATTAAAACTTAGGACATCTGCTCCTATGTTTCAAAGTGAAACTATAGGGATAATTACCTCTATGTAAAAATGCTGCCTTACCTTAAAAACAGCAAATATCGAGATATTATCGCTGCGAGCAGACTGTAGTAGATAGCAAAAACGGCAGTACGCCCATAGGACAGCTAGCAAACTCGCCGTTCGCCAGAAATCGAAAGCGTTATACAGCGACATGTACTTGACTACTAGGTGATGAGTGTGTGACGTACACAAAAAGAAGCTCTGTTGCTTAATTACCTCGAAGAGTTTTCTAATGGTCCCTCATAGAATTTGCGAAAGTAGTTTTAAATTTTTCTGTTTCTGAAAATAAATTTGCATTTTCTGTATGATTTTGTTATTAGTTGGTTAGCTAGCAATTTTTTCTAGTTTTTTTTTAGACGTTGTTTTTGTACTCATTTTTGGGATGTTTTAGAAAGAAATTTTTGTTTTCAAGTATAATGTTTTTCCAGTTTCATGTTAAATGCATGTATGTTGGTTTTATTGTAATATTTACTCGCATTTGCATATCTTTTACATATATTAATTTATATATAATGGTCAGGTAAATAGCACATATTTTAACATGAGAATAAAAACAAAAAGAACTATAAAAACATTTACAAAGAAAATTTTTAATTTAAAATGCTTTAAAATCAAGTTTAAACTGCATTCAAGAAAAAAAAAAAAAAAAAAAAAAACAACAATATTTCAAGTTAAAAAAAAAAATTCCTGAAATAATACGCCGCAAGAGAATCCCAAAGGCATGAAAATTCTTTGGACATACAAATGGCACAAATAATATCAAAGGTACCCTTTCATAAGATATTTTTCGGCCTCAATCGTTTGTGTTTTTTTATTAAATTAATTAATTAGTAGTTAATTTTGTTAAAAGCTATAATGGGTGGAGAACATCATTAAACGTTTGAAAAGACAGCAAAGGACATGTATTTTAAACTATAGTTTACGACAAATCTTTGGGTTTATTCTCAAGGTGAACTGTGTGCTCTTTACGTGCCTACAGAGTTCACTTTAGTATATTTATACATATACTGCATAATATAAGTATGTACAATAAATAAATAGGTACAATTTAAAAGCTAGATATATGAACTGCTTGAGTGAAAGCTGTTCAAGAAATGCATTAACAAAAATTCAACACAATCCTTCAAGATACTACAGAGCAGTAAAATCCTTTCATTCGATGCAGCTCCGACTATATTATTGTTTTCCAATACCTTTCCTTCAATTACTATATATGTAATATATCGGATATATAAATAAAATGTATCAATTTATATATATGCATAACATATATATTGACTCTCGGCTTAATACACTAAAAATATTTTTTAAATGTAAATATATTTGAAAACAATGCCTCTACCCGTAAGGGTCTTTTCTATGTAGTTGTGCGAATTCATAATAAATGTTTATAATTGAGGAAAGCTTCGTAGCTCTTAAAAAGCAATTGGGAGCGTTCTTTGGTACAAGATATAGAAGGACTTGAAATAGGACCTCCTTTTATTATGCCGGTCGATTCAGAATTACTTTCTACATTGATCTAAGGTTGTCTGTCCACCTGTCTGTCTGTCTTTTTTGTTTTTTTGTGTTCAACCTACAAGCAGCAGTTTCTACAGCGACATATCTTGGGCCCAAGACGAACACTATTAAAAATGGTTTGGATCGGACTACTCTTTCGATCAATTTCATTATAACAGCTTGGTTTGAAAAGGCATTACATGAATAACGTGTATTAAGGGAAGCGAATTTAGTGGTGGCCTTTGACCTACTGTAGTGTTTTTGTTTATTGTCTATAATTTTCTAGTATTTTATAACCGAGTTAGTCATTCAATTACGTTATCGCGCTTCTGGCGATATGTCTACGACAATCAAAGCTAGGTGGTTCTGAAGCCATCACAGAACATTTATTAACATTATTTGCTTTACTTATGCTGAATCGGAAATTGTCCTTTACCACCGGACATTTGCAACCAATGCTTTCGACAAACTTCTTATATATCTCGCCCGGTGTAGAATACTTGAATACAGCTTTCCAAAGTTCGCATTCATTATGAGAACTTTTCTGCTCAGTACCCACTTTCAAAAGATTTTGTTCAATTTTCAGCATGAGTGGGACCAAGGCTGTGCGTTGCCCTTGCAATACTTCTAAGATGTTCTTACGAAGATACTGACCGCAAGCCCTGCGGTATTGGTATTGCATTTATTGATATAAACGCGAATCCATTTAACTTCATTAGATATTTCAGTTCAACTTATTAAACTATTTATGAGTTTATGGCTATATATTGCGGAACGAACCCTTTTGCTGAAATAAAGTTCAGCAAGCACTTATGAAAGCCTTAAATATTTTCTTGAAAAATAAAAATTTCTCTACATAGTTACCCGTTGAACAAAGATATGCAGCTGTTTTTTATAAAAAAAAACTATTATGCTTTCCACAGAGTTATTAAAAATTTCATATAATTTTTTTTTTTTTTTGAAAATGATTATTTTTTCCTGCATTTACAGGAAGACAAACAACTCGTCTATGCAGAACTTGTATTAAAACCCTCAGAGAATAGTGAACCATTGCCACCGAAAAGTTCAACAGAGTACGCGGAAATTGTTTACGTGCAAAAACCCAAAGGTGAACAACAGCAAATACAACAACACCAACAACAACAAAACAAAAAATAAAGTGGCATTTTTTTTGTTTTACTTTTTCTAACCTTCTTTCTGGTAAACAATTTATTGTAATCTATACACTTAGAGATTATACATAACAAAGTTGAAATAAAACAAAAATTAAATAAATAAATAACTGAATAAAAACGAACAACCGTAAACCAAGAAAACAACTTAAATAGCATTAAGTTTTAAACATAAACAATGAATAAAAAAAAAAAAAAGAAAATGATTTAATGCATGTAAACTACAAAAAAAAGTCTCGCATAAAAGGATTAATAATTAATAATATTAATAAAAATACAAAATATGTTTAAACGAGAAGAGAAAAGAGAAGCACAACAATTCACACATTAATTATATATGGCATACAATGATATGCAATTGAGACTTAATGCAAAAAAAGAAAGAATACAAAAAAAAAAAAACTAAATGTCGAATATAAATAAAAAATGCAAAGAGTATTAAAAGGCCCAACTGCCATAATTGTAGGCTTTCTCCCCTTTTTGATATACCCATCACTCAAGGAAAAAACGGACTCATCGTCATTGTCACTGCAATTGCAATAGCCAAGCGATTAAGCCAGAGACTTTACAAAATTATACTGTTTTAAGATTCTGAATCGAGCTAATGATGTCCATGTGTCCATCAGTTTTCCGCGTCCTCTTGCTTCAAACCGCTTGAAAAGGAAAACTAAAACCTACTTTACTTACTCGAGTGTCAAATTGACTATTAAAGCCTGAACACACAAAGAGTTAAAAATTTTGAAGAAGCGTTCGTCGCAATCTCTTCCGTCATTTGAATTAGGGAAATATATTTAAACTGAAGTCAGGTCGGATGTCGAATTATTGCTCCTTAAGTTAGTCCCCTAAGAAGATAAAATTGTTTGCCACTTATTTTCCCTTAAGTGATGGGTATTTAAGTTGCGCCACCAGGCGAATAGAATTTTCTTACTTGTCTTCTCTCAACCTGCAGCTATTAATGAAAAGGAAACTTATTTATTAGAATTAAAGAAACAAAAAAAGTTTTCAGAAAGAATTTAATATTAAATGTATTTAAAAAAAAAAAGACAAAAA